AAAAAAAAATCCTAGACTGCCCAGAGCTTATCTAAGGATGTCCCAAGAGGGCGTCAGAGTTATGCCACTCACAGATCTGTCACTGTCATCTAGGAATCTACTTGGCACTTCTCCCTATCAGCACAAGGCCCGTTTCTCCAGGTTACATTCGGGTGGGAAAGAATGGGGTAGGCAGAGATCTAGGTCTGCTGAGCCTCTCCCTGCCTGAGCCTCCTCCTGCAGACCTCCCTGGTGAGGACAGGGGCAGCCACAGGGGATGCTGAAGTCACATCAAAGAGCATGTCTGACTCTAGCCACAAACACCCTCAGCCTGTCCTGGGACCCAGGAAGGAGAGGGGACAGAGGATATGGGAAGGATGCTGGAGGCAGTGGGGCTGGCTATCGTCTGCTCTGCTCTCAACTGATGTTCGACCTTGAGCAATGTGCCAAGTGTGCCTCTCCGCTCCGGAACACCCTCATCTGTCAAACGGAGTGAACACCTGCCTTCGGCCAGCCTGGCTGGGAGCGTGAGCTCTGTGGAGAGAAACATCTTATCAGTGGGAGGCTGTGGGGGTGCTGTTACTGCTGTAACCCGGCACCGGCTGTATGTCACTGTCTGCAAGACAGCATTGAAAAAGGGCTGCTGTCATTTTCTGCAGCTCTGGACTGGCTGGGGAGGCAGCACAACGTGTAGGTGATGAGGGCTGGTGAGGACCCTTATAATTATGAAAATCAAGCCATTTGCCAACTTGGTATGGGTCCAGCTTAATTTCTCCCAGCCCTCAACGGATGCCTGATGGGTCTGGATTGGGACTGAGGCAGAAAAACAGCAGGACCTATAAAAATGTCACTTCTCCAAAGAGCAGAGCTGCAATGGGCAGAGCCCTGAGTCCTTGTGCCTGTGGGGGGAGCTCATGGTGGTGCTCGGGAGCTTGAGAGGGTATGTGTGGGTGCAAAGAGACAGAAGGAGAGGGGGAGCTGATGCGTGTAAAGACCATCTGGCTGGGCACAGGCCCAACCCAACAACCGAGGCCCTTTTCTCTCCCTCCCCCAGCCATGTAGCTCCTGCTGTCTGCCGGGGAAGGAACAATAAAATAATCTGGAGACTCCTCTACCCTTTTCTAGATCCTCCGGGGGTCTCTGCCTCTGGTCCCTGAGCAGATGTCCAAGGCGGGCCAGCTCTGCAGCCCTGTCCAGAGTAGCTCAGGGCCTTCTGTGGGAGTTGGACAAGGAAGGCGGCCATGCAGGGCTTTCCTGGCATAGCCATGCCAGATACCGTTAAAGCCCTCCTAATCCGTGTTATTTTCTTCTAATCCCTCCCCCGCTTGCTCCTGCCTGTGTGCCACCCTGCAGGACCTTTGGCCCCAAGCCGGAGCCCGTGCTGAGGAGCCCCAGGCATGAGGAAGCCAGGCACCTGCTGCAGCGAGCCCGCATGAAGGCCAGGACCCGGCCCCTCCGTGCCAGCCATGATATCATGCCCACCATTGACCAGGGTGGCCGGTGAGTGGGGCCTGGGCCAGGGAAAAGAGATGGGACCTCGCCAAAATGCCTCTGCTCACTCCTCCCGTGTGTGTGTGTGTGTGTGTGTGTGTGTGTGTGTGTGTGTGTGTTTCCCATATCAGGTGTTTGCTTTAATTCATTTAGTTGGTCAACATACTTTTACTGAGGGCCTAGAGTGTTAAGCATTGAGGATATGAAGATGAATAAAACATAATCCGAGCTCCCTGGAGGGACAAAAGTCATTGTCTCCAGGGAGAAAGGCAGGCAAAGGGATCAATACAATTCTGTGGATTGTGGTGTAGGAAAGACGTGCGTGCGGGGCAGGAAATCTGTACCTTCACCTGGGAAGGACTGGGAGGTGCAAGAGGAGGCGGTTTCTAAGTTGGGGGCTTGAAGGAGACGTGAATATTCACTGGACAGATGAGGGAGGCAGGGGTGAGCATCCCAGGGCAGAAACCACGAGCAGAAGCCCTGTGCTCAGGAGTTTGGCCAGGCTGGAGCCTGGGGACCTGCTGGGTGCATGGTGTGAAGGCCAGAGAGCTCCGTGAGGCCAGTCGTGGAAGCCCCCAGGCCTGCTGAACAGTTTGCATGTCTCTCATAACAGCGAGGCATCACAAAGGGTTTTAAGCAGGTGGGTAGCATGATCACGTTTGTGATTCAGTAAAGCGGTCCTGGCTGCAAAGATGTGTTGGACCTGGGGTTCCGGGGGCAGTGAGGAGACTGCACCATGCTCCTGGTGCAATGTGATAGGGAGGAGGGTTTGGAGACAAGAGATTACTGAGAGCCAGAAGTAAGCAGCTTTAATGAGGCGGCAGAGAAAGTAGTTAGAAGACTCTGGAACCAGACCACTGGGTTGAATTTTGGCTCTGCCTCTTTTTAGCTGTGTGTCTTTGGGGAAGTCTCAGTGCCTCAGTTTCCTCATCTGCAAAATGGGGATTATAATAGTGCCTATGTTACAGAGTTGTTGTGAGGGTATATGAGTTAATAAATACATGTAAAGTGTTTAGAATAGCTCCTAGCATATAGTGAGTACTCTGTGAGTGTTACCTCTTGAAAGTAACTTAGAGTGGTCTCCACTTCTCCACTGGGGATATGTTCCAAGACCCCCAATGGATGCCTGAAACTAGAGATAGTACTGAACCCTATATATCCTATGTTTTTCCTCTACATTCATACCTTTTCACTTAAAGGAAGCACATTATGGCTTCGCTTTGGCATATCCGAATTGTCAACATCACTACTATTGCTCTTTGGGGCCATTATTAGGTAAAACAAGGGCTACTTGAACACAAGCAGTGTGATACCACACAGTTGATCTGATAACTGAGGGAGCTACTAAGTGACTAATGGGCGGAGAGCATATACAGTGTGGAGACACACTAAACAAAGGGATGATTCATGTCCCTGGTGGGATGGTGTGGGACAGTGCAAGATTTCATCACATAACTTGAGAATGGCATGCAATTGAAAACTTACGAATTCTTTATTTCTGGAATTTTCCACTTAATATTTTCTGACAGCTGTTGACCGCAGGTAACTGAAACCACAGAAAGCAAATCCACAGAAAAGGGGGGACTACAGTGATTAACTAGATGTAGGAAGTAGGAGAGGGGAGGCATCCAGGATGGAGCCCAGGGTTCTGACTTGGTGTCTGTAGGTTCAATGGGACCTTATGCAAGGGGTGAGGCCTAGGTGCAGGGTCAGGCTTTGAAGGGAGTTACCCCCGGAACACCCACTGGAGACCCTTATCAGGCAGTTGGATATGGGATCTGTAGAGGAGGAGAGAGGTCAGAACTGCATATTTGGGTATTACCCTGTTTTCATGATGCTGGAGCTGTGAGTGAGCCTGAGTGCATCAAGGATGGAGAGATGGGAAAGAAACAAGTTCAAGGACATTCAGACCAGCACTTCACATATGTGGCTGCTCCCTGAGTCACACCCTATCACCATCATTGGGACTGTTCCATGTACGGTGCACTGCAAGGAACCACTTACATGTGGAGCTCTGGGCCTGAGATGAGACGGCCAGCCCATGGCAGATTGCACCAGGCCTGAGCAGGACCCTCTCTGTGGTCGATAAGGCCTGTGGCTTCCGTGGCATGGTGGGCATGCTGGGCCTGCGAGTTTTCATCACCATGTGGCACTAGAGAAAATGAGGCTTCTCAGTGGAACTGGACCACATGCTCTTTGATGGAGGATGCTGAGCCCAATCATGAAAGGGCGAGGACCTTCACAGCACCATTGAGATGACTTCGGCATGAGCAGAGGGCTGTGGCCTGCCTCTGTGCTCAGTGTCAGTGTGGCCCTTAGGAGAGGGGCTCAGGAGACCCCATACCCTGGCAACAGGTGCCAAACAGGCTACCCTTTTATTTCCACATTTTGTGCCTTGTCTTCCTCTGGCTAGAGAGCACTAGTTATGAATGGGCATGGCTTCTCTGAAGCAACCTAACTATTCTCTGCATGTATATGGGGCCCAGAGCCTTCGACTTCCATGGAACCCTCCTGTTTCACTTTCCACAGGTATATAGGTTGGATTGGGTAGCCTCACATAGGCAAGTCTATTGGCAAAACATACTTGACTACGTAAATGTACTCTTGTATGCTTCCTCTTCCCTGAATCATGTCAGCAGCTCACAACCACCCATTCACTGACCTTAAAGTAGGTTCCCCTCTGCCAGCCTGTCCCCTGGCTGTAGAAATGCTATCGGAAAGCAAGGCGACCCACTTTAGCAGCTGCTGTGTCCAGAAAGGAATTACTTTGACTTGGCAGCACTGGTGAATCCTCAGAGGGTAGAGCTGAAAATCAACGCCAGATGGCTTGCTACAGATGCTCTTAAAGGTTATGCTGGTCAGATCATCCTGGAGAGCCGTGCTGAGTTAACATGGAGATGCCACGTAGGCCCTGGGCCTTGGTTAGATGCAGGAGCCTCCCTACACCCCAGCCAGCCCAGAGGCATCACTCCTTCCAAAGAGCAGTGAAAGATGATGGAAGAGTGGGGGCAAGCAGAGCCATCTTCAGAGGGCCTTTGTATCCTAGGTCTGGTGGAGGCAGCTGGGGCAGCCGGAACAGACAGACAGGCTTTGCCAGGAGATGAAGAGGTAGCAGTAGCTGCATTCCCTGGAAACACATCAGCGTTGATATCAAGCAGCTCCTGGAAATACACGCTCTTGCCGTTTGGGGGACAGATACACCTAGCCTGTTGGTCTAGTCTCAGGAGGGTAAACATGTCAGCAAGATGCAGGACCTGGGAGGTGGCACCATAAGTGCCATTGTCCTGTGTCAGAAAGTGGCTGTGTTCTAACTGTAGAGCTTGAGTGGGATATATTGAGAGTGTGGTTAGGACAGCATTGTTACAGGAAGTGGGCTCCAGAAGGTAGCTTTCCCATTCCCCTAGGCCATTCAGCCCAGGTTCTGAGCCTGACAGAGTCCTCTCCGAGGATGCATACTGAGGTATCTGCTGGCTGAGAAGCTTAGCAGGGTGGGATTTGCTCGCTGCCGAAGTGCCTCGTTTGCTCTGCACTTGTCTCCCAAATCCTCCTGGCACCTTTCTGCACTGTCCCAGCACTGCTGGCGGAGGCCTCTGGGTTTTAATACTTGAGTTGAAGGTGCCTCATGTGATTAAGCTCTCCTTCAGTTCTCCTTTGGGAACAAAAATAGTATTTCTACCTTTGGCATAAATTCCAGGGTGACTCAGTTCACCATCTTGTATTAAAAGTTAAGGTCAGCCCGACCGGCATGGCTCAGTGGTTGAGCATCAACCCATGAACCAGGAGGTTAAGATTCAATTCCCAGTCAGGGTACATGCCCAGGGTGCAGGCTCGATCCCCAGTGCGGGGCATGTAGGAGGCAGCTGATGAATGATTCTCATCATTGATGTTTCTATTTCTCTCTCCCTCTGAAATCAATAAAATTTATTTTAAAAAAATAAAATAAAAGTTAAGGTCAGTGATGTGGCTGGCAGGACCTGGATCCCTTTTTAGATGTGATTGTCCCACAGCCCCTTCCTCAGGTCCTGACAGCCTAAAGTGATCCAGGTGTAGGTGGGTCCTCAGGGAGGGAGAAGTATGGTACTTACCTGGCCTCTGACAGAAAAATGGGTCCATTCGCATAGTGGTCTGAAAGTCAGGTAACCTGCTCCAGGGCGCCCTGGTGTGAGATCTGACTTGACCACCAGGCACAGTGCCTCCCAGAGCACAGGTTGGTGACAGAATGCAGAGACTTTTCCTAGCACAGTAATTCTCATCACAGCTTTTCAGGATGAGTGTGCTTGAGGGGCTGAGGTGGGACAGGTACAGGGAAGGGGTGTGGGAACAGACAAGAGGGAGCACCTGGAGCATCAGTGTCGCTCTGTCTAAATTTCGTCTAAGCAAGATGATTGGGAACCCAGAGGGAGAGCAAGAAACCCTAACTTCTGGTCCCACACAGTCTCTGTAGAGACTTAAAATGTACTCTTCCCATTAAATCTTTATAGCAAATACGGTACTGCCACAAGTCATCACTGCCAGATGCCATGGTGGCCAGGCTCATGTACTCCTGTGTGCACACACGTGTGTGCGCGCGCACACACACGCACATCACGCATGCCACGCTGGAGGACTTTGGTGTCATCTTCCTGTACAATCCTGAGTTTAATAAAGTTTCATCTTAACTCAGGCTGAGCTGGCAACAGAGGGAAATGCACAATAAAGAAGGTCCTGTTGGTGCTCTTTAGCGCCATGTCTCCGGCTCTGGATGGGCTTGTGAGCTACTCTGGTTTGCTGCCTGACTCCCCAGGAACCTGATTTGGGGTAACTCTGGGGTTGTGGTTACCACGGAGCACCCCAGGCTACCTTCCTCCTCACTTCTGTGACCTCGTTTCTGTCTCCCCATCAGGGATGGCAGGAGAAACCCAGCCCTGGACCGGAGGATGCCCTTTGCCTGCAGAGACAACCGCCACAACGGGAGCACGAGCGACTCCTCCAGCGGGGAGTCCAGCAGCGGGCAGTGGCCGAAGCGGGGCCCCTCCCCGTCCCACGTCCGCTTTGAGGATGAGTCTGCCCGGGAGGCCGAGTCCCGCTACCTGGAGCGGCTGCAACAGCGCCAGCGCCAGGTGCTGGGCCCTGCGCTGCAGATGGCAGAGCAGGGCCCCCTGCGCTCCAAGCCAGAGCTCGCAGACTACATCGCCGGGGGCCTCCTGCGCAGGGACGCAAGCGAACGGACTCCGCACAGGCTTGTGGGCCACCTGGACCGGAGAGCCTTCCCGGAGCGGCCGCCCACACGGGGCATCGAGAGGACCTGCCGAGCCTGCGGCAGTTGCATCGAGGACCAACACCCTGCCCTTGGGAAGGCAGCCGGGGACCCCCAGGTCCTCCAGGAGCACGGGCTCCCTGTGGGCTGGAGGGAGTGTTG